TTTACAGAGATCAGAGCATTACTCTCAGTAAATTCCATCAGTCGTTCCATAAAAGCATACTCAAACATTTTTGAAAAGCTAGAAGGTACGGTAACGGGTCTGTAATTTTCCATTAATAGTTTATTTGATTTTTTATGGATTGGTACGACTTTGCCAAGTTTCAGATTGCTTAGAAAACGCCCTGTCAGAAATGAAATATTCATCAGGTAGGTTAATGGTTCGGTGATGTAACTGAGTGACTTCTTGATAATGAACATTGGGATGTCATCAGGCCCTGAATAAGACTTATTCTTCAATTTTTTTCGAAGAAGAAATAATAATTCATCACAAACAAAAGGATTAAGAAAAATTGACCTTTAGTGAATAGATAGAGAATTTAGATTTGAGTTTAAAGCATGTGAAGTGGGCATGTTTTCAATAACTTTTAAAGGAACATTAATAAAAGAGGCATTGAATAAGGATGCTACTATCTTGGGATCTTCCTCAATGGTGTCTTCATGTACTATTTTTATTTTAGTTGATTGAACATTTGCAGTGAATGATTCAGTTATTACTTTCCGAATCATTTTTGAGCTATTATCAGAGTTGAATATTCTGTTTTCGTAATATTCTTTCTATGATCTCTGAACTATTTTTTCATGTTGTTTTTTAGCCAAATTATACAGTTTAGTCAACTCAAATAAAGATCCTTCAATTTTGAACTAGAGTCGATTACTTCAGAAGTAATCCATTTTGTTTGTTTTTATAATTTTTTTTAACTGGGAATGATATTTCGAAGTAATGAAGAAACATTTCATTGAAGTAGTTATATGCCTCATTGATTAATTTCTTTTCATAAAGTCCCAACCATTGCTTTTGGCTTAGTGCTTGTAAAAATTTGTTAATATCATTGATAGGTGCCAGTCCATTGACCTACAGTGTAGGTAAGTTGAAACTGGCCTGAACAAACTGTTCTTTTAGTCAATTTAAATTATCTGTTTTATCGCGTCAGGTATTAATGACGCATGTGTGATGATTTATTGTCCCAAGGTAGCAGATAGTTTTTGGTTTGAATTTTCGTAGCACACCACTGCTCAAACATATACTCACTAGTTTATTTGAAATTTTGATGGGATTTTGCTTTGCTGTACCTTCTGCTCTTATAAATAATTCAAGATTTTTAGATATCGCAAATCAAAAAACTCGTTTACCTTCGAAACATCATCCTGCTGTGTAAGAAATGAATTATATAAATTAGTGGTTTCAGTCCAGTTCCATTATTTACACTTAAGAAGTGCTTGCACATTGACGATAATGGCGCTTTTTATATATCCCGATAAGTTTACGGTGTGCCTATTTGTGCTAATAATCTCACTGTCGAAAGAGTCTCTTCAACAAAATACTATGTTAACTAAAGATAAAACTTTCAAACTGAACACTGGTGATGCAATACCTGCAGTGGGATGTAAGATATTTTCACTTAGCTTTTTCAATTTCACTGAAATCAATACATTTTCAGTTGGGACTTACCAGGTTCAAGGTACTGAATTAGTTAAAAATGTTATTGATTTGGCTCTGGCTTCAGGATATAGACTCATAGGTTGGTAAATTCAAAATATACCTGCACATACTTCGGCATTTCATTCATTGTATATGCAATTTAGATACTGCAGCCTTATATAAAAACGAAGAGGATATTGGAAAGGCCCTAAAAGAACTTCTTCCCAAATACAATCTCACCAGAAAAGACATTTTCATCACTACAAAGTTATGTAAGTTCTTTTTTTTCTGCTTCAATTACTTTTAATTCATTCAATATTGTTTTTAGATCCGTACAACCAAGGACAAACGGCTTATAAATCCTTGCAGCAATCTCTGAGGTATTTGGATTGCGATTACATCGATTTATATCTGATACATTGGCCTGGTGTACTTGGTGCAAATTTGACGACCAGTCAACTGAAGAAGTCTCGAGATGACGGATGGCAACAGTTAATTAAGGGCAAGAAAGACGGTTTAACGAGAAACATCGGAGTTTCAAATTATAATATTGGCCATTTAACAGAACTTTTAGAAAATGACCATGGCTTTAAACCATCAGTGAATCAGGTATGTTTTTATTCTATTTTAATCTAAAGAAATGAACTTTAAACGTTCAAGTCAGTCACGAATATACCTACACAGTAGGTTGAATGGACTGACGCCCACAGAAAACAACTACTCCCCTGGCTAATACCACGAAGGGCGTTGGATTATATCCGACAGGCGTCAGTGCAGAAATCTTCACAGAAAATTTCCTGCATATGCAATTGGCAATACAACTGAAAGAGTCAACCTTCAATTCTGGAACGGACACAGTTGCATACCGGTTTCGGGCTCATTAGCCACTCATCAGTTGTCGAGACTGGCTTGAACTTTTAAAGTTCATNGTTTATTTTTTTTTTTTCTCTTTCTCACTAATCGTATTACCATGGATTATTATAATATTATCATATTTTTTTATTATTTTATAAAATGTACTTACTGAGCTCTTATCTTGGTGAGTAACAGATCACAATACAGGCATTTCAATGTCTAGGTGAAAGTTACTCATTCAAGATAATTGAAATTTATTAATTATGTATGTCATACAACAAATTGTATATTAACATGGAATAAATAAATTTGATTTGATTTGAATTTGAAAATAAATTCAACCAGAATTTGGAATAATTCAACAGAATTAAATATGGAATGAATGAATTTTTCCAATACTGATAATTTCTAATTCATAAACAAAAATGAAAACATCAAATTTGGTAGCTAAAAAACTTAAAACTCATTTCAAATTCATCACCGAGTTCAATATCCTTATTACGCAAGTTGTCAGTCTTTTCCTAACAACAAGTATGTAGATGTAGATATCGTATAGGGTGTGTCATGGTCAGGTGAAACAATTTATTTGATTTATTTCTTGAGGTTTCAGTTAATTAAAGAGGACTTTTTTGCAGTGGTCCTGAAGAAGACAATGTTTATTGCCTTATTCAGGACAACTGTAATACATAAATCGGTAACCACATATTATATGATAACATTTCTTACTTACTATGAAATGGTGCAACCGACTTTGACATATTTTTGAACCAGGGAGGGGAATTTCAAATAAAGGGTGATATNTTTTACTGAGATTGTTGAGGTCTGATCTTTTATGCATCGCTTGTTCTTCATTATTTATCTCAGCCATTCCTAAAAATAATCTCTTCCAAGGAATCTTTTCGGTATGTAAAATTTCAGTATTATTATAATCCACATTTTGGTCATACTGAATAATATGTTCTGCCAAGGTACAGATTCAATATTTCTGCTTCAATCACTCTTACGGAGGATGATACGACTATTTGATGTTCTGAATTGGAGGCTGGAACCTTCTACTCTAGAACCTGTGTCGTTTCCACCGGTGTTAACCAGGGCAGCCTCCTAGGACCTATGCTCTTTCTTTCATTCGTAAATGACCTTAACAACAGTAACCGTCAACATTGTGCAGTGCAATTTGCTGACGACACTTCGTTCATTCTGTGGTCCTCGATTTATGAGGGATTTTCGTGTCAGGCCAATCAATCGGTTGCTAATATGCAAAAATATTGTTTTCAAAATGGTCTCAATCTCAATAGCTTATATTACTGGACTATTCCGACAGCCATCCTCAGTTCCATCAGGTTGGAGCCTAGCTCCCTCACTCTTGTAGCTAATTTTTGTCAGAAGGACAAATAGGTTCATGACTAAGAGGTGATAAAAGTCCTCAGACATCAGTACCGCCCTTCACGGTGTACCCCTACCTGGCTGTGGTGGGTTGGATGAAAAATTGTTCATCCGTTAACGGGAGACATGAGGCCTTCATTCAACAGAGTATCGGGGAGGGTTCGTCCCGACTGGACTATTTCGTGGTTATCTTGTTTATGTCGAGTTCTGAATAACTAAATCCCTGTCTCTTTAGTCTAGCTGGGTTAACGTCTATTAGATTTTTTAGGTTTCGGCGACAGAGACGGGTCTCTGTTGACTTCTTGCAGCTTGTGGCCATGTTTGTAGAAGTCTCCGTTCTTCTACTTTTTTTTTCTGTCGTGCAGACATAGGTTCTTTCCAGTTTCTCTTTTTTCAATTTTTTCCGGCAAGCATGGCCTGCAGGACTAGGAATTTCNAATCTCTCTAAGTATGCATACTCAAAGATTTTTGAAAAACCAGAGGGTACAGTGATAGGCCTGTAATTTTCTAAAAGATGAGCGTCAGATTTCTTATGAACTGGTACAACTTTACCAATTTTCAGTTTTTCAGGAAAAACTCCAAACGTAAAAGACAGATTAACTAAGTAAGTGAGTGGATATATAATATATGGCAGACTTTTCTTAATTAGAAACATTGGAACGTCATCAGGTCCAGACGATCCCTTATTTTTGAGTTTGTTCATTAAGAGTGATAAGAGTTCTGTTTCTGAAAAAGGGACAAGAAATATAGTTTCTGGAATGTTAGGAGGATTTTTATACTTATTTTTTAGGGTATTACATTTGAGATCATCGGTGATTTTCTTAGGTATAGAGAGAAAGTATTCATTGAAGAGGTCTGAAATTTCTTGGGGATTCGTGACATACTCACTATTATGAAGAATAGTTATATTTCTTCCCACATTTGAGGAACCATTAATATCATTTATCACTTGCCAAGCTGTTTTTGTGGGGTTGTCGGATGCCGTTATTTTATTCTGATAAAACTTACGCTTTTTGTGTTTAATATTAATCTGCGATGTAGTTTTTTTGATTTTTCATAAGTTTATCTCCTTGTTTGTTCTTTTATACGCTTAGAACGCTTTAGCGTCCCCTCCTGCCATCCGGATGTTTCTTCAACGTTGCCTAAATTTGCCTGTAAATGGGTTGCACCAGGTAATATCCTTTGTTCATTGTTTCTAGGAATGTATACTGTATTGTTTAGTATATTGAATGTTGGATCTTGTGTTTTGATTTGTATTTGTTCCTCGATAAGTGAATTATGACTTTTGACCTTATGGATGTTAAGGTTTTCCCAGATGTCCTTACAGTTTCCTTTATTGACAAGTCAAATATATTATCTTCACAAAATAGATATTTCATACTCAAATGGAATCAAAAACAAATCAATTGTCGAAATTGAAGGGGGTATAATTCAGAAGAGAAAACTTAATTTTCAAGATGTGTAGGTAGATCATGCATGATCTTCACATGTACACATGGAAAACATACAAAAATATAACGGATATAAATAAAATTGGTTAAAGTCTAACTGCATTAATAGTAGAAAAAATTAATTTAACTTAAAATCCCATTTTGAAACTTTCTTATTTAGAGATACCACCCAGTTTCAATACGGGCCTGTAGGTGGAGCATATGAAGGGGCGCGTTGTTTAACAGACTTTCCATTCACCCTGGATAACTATAGGCTCTCGTAGCGGAATTTCATTCATTTTTTTGACACTGTGAAAGATCATCTGATTTCTGATAAAAACAGACTGAAAATTCCTGTAATTCAACAGGAAT